ACTGCACCAACACTTTGATGTAACACTTCAGTAGTAGGTATTGCATTGCTCTGCTGGCCATTCTCGTTCTTCATTGAAGGGTGGAGCGCAGCGGACAACAAACAAAAAACTTAGTGGACAAGTTGATTTATAACAGTGGACAACATTACATTACTTGAACAAGAGGGATTGATAACTTACTTCTTTGACTCCGCCAAAGTTTTGGTTGATATCTTTGATAACACCAGAGACACCAACTTAGGGATCCCATTCAGAACTGACATTTGGCCCTTTCGGTGGACCAATATTTGTGGTTCTTGACGGACTAACATTTCTCGGTGTTGATGGACTAACATTGGTGCCTTCTTGAGTATGATGTTGTTCAGTAGGAGGTTCATCATGAGAAGAAGCTGTTTGGTCAGGACGGTTTGGAATGTCAGGCTTATCACCTTTGTGGAGTACACTTATAATCTGGTCAACAAGTTCATCCTTGATAAGAGACATCTCCAATGCAAAAGTTGACTTAATCTCAGCAGTGTGAACAGCATTTATTGAGTTGATCTGGCGGATCAGTGCATCAACATCAAGTTTAACAACCCTTTGACCCACATTCTGTGGTGAAGAATCACCAACTTTACCTTTCTCTTTAAACGAATAATGAGGAGATGAACCAGACCTGTCTTGAGGAATATCAGCAGCTTTCTTTTGAGGAATATTAACTTTCATATGTGGTTTCTCTTTCTTGTGAGGCTTAGAATCGACGACAAGGAAAGGCCAAAGAGTTACACCACCAGACCAAGACTCTTTTGAAAAGGGATACCGATGACTAATGAGTGTGTGTAGATATATAAGAGACGGATCTTCAACCTCATCTGGCCAATAGTTGATTAATTCATATTCAGCATCAGGAGAGGAGAGTAGTGGCCAAATGACAAGCTGTAATACAGTAAGAAACTATAGACAGTTAGCAAAGTGTATATGTTTAAGAATACAATATAAACAAAATAAGTAAAAAGACAAAGTAC